CAATATTTTTAACAGAAAACAACATGGCACAACATTAAACAGTAGCGCAAATTATACTCATCATAATTATCAAGAAACAGCAAACAATAGAACAAAAAACCTTTAAGCTATTTAGCTTTGTTCTACTTCTGATTGTCACATCTATAATGGCACACCTACATTTCTAGGGTCCAACCTAGTTCACAGAACTATTAATTTTAGATATGCATCATTATACTAATTTTTATGATACAACAGCTGATATTTATTTTAATGTAATGGCCAAAGGCTGGTACGATGGCTGATATTATAAATACCTGTTTTCATCTAACAAAAACCTATTCTTCAGTCTTGAAGTAGCACACATTATAATGTAGAATAAATAACTGTGTAGTTTGAATATATATATATTATAGTATCTGCTCTATTATTGGCTTAATCAGATGTATACTGATTTAAAATGCCAAATATGACTGCTACTGTACTGATACGGCCACTCATATTGTATATTTTAAAATCGAACCTGATATTGACAACATATTGCCAAATATTATTATTATTTGAAATATGGTAGCAAACTAAGTAATAGCCTATCAATCTTATTTTTAGTGTCATCCATCTTTATATTTTCAGTCAGTCCAAAAACATTGTAAATTCTTATAAATGATGGTCTGAACCAGTGATGTGAACATTGTGCTGCTCAGTATATATTAGTTGGTACTGATACGAGATACATAGGAACACTGTCTCAGATTCTATTTATAATAAATAAATAAACAAATAGATACATAAATAAAATCACATGTGAAGTAGGTTGAGCCCTACTTGACCTTGTTTGACCCTATTATGTCCTCCAGATTTCTTCTGTACAGTACCGCTTCTTTTCCTCCCATCGTGAAAATATTGTCACATATTGCACAAGCCACTGGATAAAGCATTATAGCATGCTCACTCACAATAAAATACTGATGGATGTGAACTAACTCATGCTCACACAGCACTACAGTACTTTAGATCTCTTTCTAACTAAACACAACATAAACGAGTGACACAGAAACATGAAGAGACCACAAGAGACAAAATAAGATTCTAATCACAGTGTCAGAACTGAGCACACAATGGAGTGGATGACATTGCCACCACTGAACCAAACAGCACAAACAGAGTTTAAAACAAGAATTATAACTAGTCGTTTTTATACTTTCGACTTCTGAACTCAAAATCCAAGTGCCATTTGTTCTTTCTGCTGGGCTTTTTGTATATATATATATATATATGTATATTTTGTTTTTGTTTTTTTTTTTCTAAAAAGGTAAAAAGCCAAGAGGTCCTATTTAGCTGGTCACATGCAACTTGCAGAATAATATGGGAAAAATTCAGAGCTTAAACTGAACTAAACAAGTAGCCTGAGCTGAAATGTAAGCAAATGCCCTCATTTGGCTTTTTCCCCCCTAAAACTGACTGGGTTCATCATATCAAGACTAAGGTGTGGTGGATGAGATCTACCCTGCATCTCGCAAAAAATACATACAGGTGCATCTCAATAAATTAGAATGTCGTGGAAAAGTTCATTTATTTCAGTAATTCAACTAAAATTGTGAAACTCGTGTATTAAATAAATTCAATGCACACAGACTGAAGTAGGTTAAGTCTTTGGTTCTTTTAATTGTGATGATTTTGGCTCACATTTAACAAAAACCCACCAACTCACTATCTCAACAAATTAGAATACTCCATAAGACCAATAAAAAAAACATTTCTAGTGAATTGTTGGCCTTCTGGAAAGTATGTTAATTTACTGTACATGTACTCAATACTTGGTAGGGGCTCATTTTGCTTTAATTACTGCCTCAATTCAGCGTGGCATGGAGGTGATCAGTTTGTGGCACTACTGAGGTGGTATGGAAGCCCAGGTTTCTTTGACAGTGGCCTTCAGCTCATCTACATTTTTTGGCACGACATTCTAATTTATTGAGATGCACCTGTACTAGTATTTACAAAACATTGATTTTGAATACCGTGAAGTCAAAGTGCTGTGAAGTTAAAGTCAAATAAAGGTTATACCCAAGTGTGTGCATGCAGTGGCCCTTTATAGACCACTACAATCTATTAAAAATACCAAAAGCACTATCCTGTTCCTCCAGTCTGTTGGTTTTACGAACAATACCCTCTTCATTCATAAAATTATACTTCAAATGTTATACTGCATGTCAGTATTGTTTGTACATTAAAAGGGACATCGGATGAAATATTCACTTTTTTAGCTTTTTTGCATTTAGTTAGGTAACTGGCGTGTCTGCCAGCTCAGAAAAGCTGAAAAAAAAAAACATGCAGCCAGTTTTTAATGGGCCGTGTCATCCAGCAGCTGTTTCAATTTGCAGCCAGTTTCTATGTAGCTAGCTAGCTAGCTATTTGAATAAGACCACCTCTGAACCATATATGGATATATTGGAGAGGGGTGGAGTAGCTCATTAGCATTTAAAGAGACATGCACTGAAAAGTCACTGTGAACCGAGCTGTTTTTGATGAGGTAAAAATTGTGTTGTTTTACACGACCGTTGAGGAATTTTAACCAAAGTATGCTGCAGACATTTCATGAAGACCCTAAAGGATCATACCAACTTGTGAAAAATGGGCATCCGATGTCCCCTTTAATGGACTTTGGTAGTATATCGCTATTGTCTGAATTGTTTCATAGTTTTGCCCAAGATGAGAATAAGTGCTACTGCTCCAGTTTTATAGAGCCGAGAATGAACTGCCTGGGAATTCAAATGTTTAGCTTTTTGTACAAGTTAAGCTTTATGGTATCTGTAACATGCTACTGAATGCCACCAGAATGAATCGTGACTTTCCTTTAGCTTGTAAAAAGAACAGTACAGTTAGAACAGTCAGAAGCTGTCCATAGAGCTTAAACATAAAAGAGAGCTTAAGCATAAAACTTTTTTGAATACTGAATATTCCTTTGATTTCAGTGCTAGATGCAACTTAAGTTAAGGACTTAAATCCTGTAATAAGTATTATTTTACGGTATAGCTTACCCAGAAATGAAAATTCTCAAAATTAAATCATTTTGATACCAAATCTTTTACTCACTCTTGTGATGTTCCAAACCTGCATTTCTTTCCTCTGTGAAACACAAAAGAAGATATTTTAAAGAATGCTGGTAACCAGTCTGTAAACCGTTTGGTCGACCATTGACAAAAAATTCTAAACATTTCTCAAAATATCTTCACAGGGCTCTATGGTGAGTAAATGACAGAATTGTCATTTTGGGGTAAACTATCTCTTTAAATGAAAGTAAATTTTTTTACAGAATCGTTTCACAGTTCAGCCAAAGACCATAAGTGCAATTGCTCCACTTGTACAAAATGGCAAAAAGGATCTATAATCCAACTTCTTGGCAATTAATTTAAGAACACTTAACAACATCTATGCATATTCCAATAGCTGCATGTTTTAAAATGAAAGAGAACTTTCTTCTCTGTTACAGTTTCCTCTTTCTCTCCTTCTAATGAGGCTGGCTAACATAGGCAGGGAAATGTATATTCATCCCTAAATATGTAGCACCACTGTTAAATATACACAACAGCACCTTAAAAAAAAAACAAAAAAGTCCCAAGTAAATGATTTCGATATTTGCTACATACTTTTTCTTCTTGCTGAAACAGTGCATTTTCAATGAGAGAAAGTTTGTGAACAAACTACAAGCTTTAAGTGGCATAAAATCCAACCTGTACGGCACAGGTTTTGTTTTAACATCATCCTGCATTTAGATAACTACATTCATTTTCCTGAACAGTAGTGTTGTCACGGTCACGGTGTGTGGAGGCAGGCAGGATGACAAGGACGACAAGGATTCAAATAAGGATGTTTAATGTAGAGACAACAAGGCAGATACGGGTAGATGAGACACACACTCAGGGTAACATTCACAATAACCGACAAACTAGACTACAGGAGGCAGGAACTAATATAGGGCGGATAACGAGGGGCAGACAGGTGAGCACAATCAAGGTAATTAACTAATAATGAGGACAGGAACAACCAAATAAGGACACAGGGGCGTTACATTACTCCCCCCTCCCGGAAGGTGCGTCCTCGCACCGTAGAAACAGAGGGAGGGGCGGAGGGGGACTAGGAGGAGGACAAAGCAGAGGATGCGAGATGGGCGGAGGGGAGGAGGAGGACAAAGCAGTGGATGTGAGATGGTGACAGGGGAGGGCAATGGGCTGGCAGGCAGAGCAGACAGGTAGAGGTTCCGGCGGAGGACGGACTTCCAGAAGGAGGACGGCTAACAGAGTCCAGGGAGGTGACGATGGAGGGAGGAGCCAGGGAGACGACAGGGTGTTAGTTAGAAAACAGCAAGCATGTAACATTACTAACTATAGCTTCACTTCATGTTAGCAACTTGTAATGACAGCTGTATCTATTTGAATTAAAGGGCAGCTTCACCATGTGTTCATTCTACAGCCAATCTTATCATTAAAATATTTCACAGATGGACTATAATCACATTCAAGTATCAAATAACTAATCTGCCATCTGTAGTTGGACATCGCTGTTGTTTATTGGGCTTTTGTAGAACTCATATTTACATACAGTGCTGTCCAAAAGTCTGTTTCTAGTGAAAATTTAACATGAATATCAACATTTCTTAGTATTTGGCAACCTGGAATGATTTTGCATGTAAAAACAAACATACAGGCAGACTGGAGCAGTCAGGTTCTTGTAATCATGAAAACTCAATGAATCAGTGAGTATGGTTACTAAATCAACATCTGACTCACCTACTCAACTGTAAGTTATCATGACTTTAAATCTTGTTCATTGTTAGAAATGTCTTTACTGTCACTTTTCATCAATTTAATGAATCCTTGTAAAAAAAACAAAAAAACAAGTATGTGCTATATTAATAATAATAATAAAAATAAAAATAAACACTCATCCAAATGGTACCGTATTGTAATTACCAGAAAAAAAAAAAAGATTTTCAATCTGGTTTCAGACTTTGGACCCCATTGTATAATTATTAATATATTCAACATATTTCAGTAATATCTGAAATAGTGTTATTTGCATGTACATTCATTGCTAAGCTCCACTTCGGTCCCTAAACCTCGTACCCATCTGACCTCCTCTGCTGGGACCAGCTGTCGTAACCCAGTCTTCCAGAAGAACTTTTAGACAGTCCCCATCCAGACCGACTAAGTAACTGCTGCTCTTCATCCTGCTCAAGATGGTCTCCTGAAGAGCTGATGTCAAAGAACAGCAAAATAAGACAATTATTATCATCCAACGCACATATGAACCAAGTGTGTTTAATAAGAAGGGTAATCATTATTTATGGCAGGGCAACATGATCTACTACTGTCTTGATAGGATCTCATGAATTACTTAGAGGGGACATCCTTCTACTACAGGCCAAACGAGTGCCTTGAGTCAAATAAGGACATGATTTATATAGAAATGCTCTGAAAATGTTCCGCTGGTTGTTAAGTGTAGGAAACTAGAGGTTAAATGGTTACATGAATTACTCATTACTGGAGTAATGTGACATTCCTTCTTAAAGTAAAATCAATAATGCAATACCTGCTTTGTGTTATTCTATGTGGACCGGGCTCTGATGGCAGAGGCACCTGAAATAATGACAAATTAGAGAAATGCAGAGGACTGACATATTTCTGAAATAGAAGTTCATTATTGCAATGCTGGAAAATCACACAAGTGGGTCATATCAGGTGATTCATTATTGAATTTCCTTTTTTTTTTTTACATCAGTACATGGGTCAATGACTTGACACTCTTCCTTGTTTAAAAATACACTGAAAATGCAATTCATATAAAAATGCATATGAAAATACTTTTTCAATTTCTGAAATATAAGTCATTCTATTATTTTTGGAGGACTTAAAGTGAAAAATGGTGGTGTAACTGTTTGAAAAGAAAAAAAAAAGGCAAAAAAAGGGCGTTTTTGCCATGAAAAAAGGGCAAAAATTCTTTAAATATAGGCATGGTCTTTGTTTTATTATTACTTTAAATGTTTAATTATTATAAAATGTCATGAAGCTTTTTTTTTTAAATATCAGATTTGACCTTTTTATGAAAATGCATTTTGTTTAGGTCAAATGGAGTAGCCTAAAGAAAACTTAATATGCAAGAGTCCAAAATGAATTACATTTTAAAAAACAAACTAAATAAATAAATAAATTGGGGAAAAATTATTGTTTCAAAACCATAAAAAAAAAAAATGTATAAAGGCATGATACACTTTTATTTTTATGGAAATTTTGGTGACATACAGAGTGAGCCGTGCAATAATGCCTGTGGGGGGCGCTCTGATAATATTCCAGGAGTCTCTCGGCCAGGAAAATCCTCCGCAAGAGGCTCTCAATGAACCGACGCAAACGAACCTTCCCACACATCTCATGCTGCGCCGCTGCTTCCAGAAACTTCTGGATGGTAATAACTTCCCTGCAATATAGTAAAAGGTAGTTATCAGAGATATTTATGAGATATTTTTATTTTTATTTTCCCCTTAACATGTTTCATGTCATGTTTCCTTCTGTTTCTTGTTACCTTTAAAGGGGTCATATGATGCTGCTAAAAAGAACATTATTTTGTGTATTTGGTGTAATGAAATGTGTTTATGCGGTTTAAAGTTTAAAAAAAACATTATTTTCCACATACTGTACATTATTGTTTCTCCTCTATGCCCCGCCTTTTTGAAACGCCTCGATTTTTACAAAGCTCATCGGTCTAAAAAAGCGAGGTGTGCTGAGATTGACCAGCTATCCAGTGAGTTGTGATTGGCCGAATACCTC